TTGGCCCGCCCCGGGGGGGTCATTGATTTTCCCCCTTTATGCATATAGTAAAAACTTAAAAAATCTTCTTTTAAAGAACCCAAAGAGCTAGAGCTAAGATTTTTAGCATGAAACATGTTCTAATGGGTGTCTACCAAGTTTGTTCAAATAAAAGCCCTGGGGTGAAAATTGGCCCCGCCCGGGGGGTCATTGATTTTCCCTATATGCATATAGTAAAAACTTAAAAAAATCTTCTTTTAAAGAACTCAAAGAGCTATGGCTAAGATATTGAGCATCAAACATGTTCTAATAGGTGTCTACCAAGTTTGTTCAAATACAAGCCCAGGGGTCAAAATTGGCCCCGCCCCGGGGTCATTGATTTTCTTTATATGTGTTTTAGCAAAACTTTAAATCTTCTTTGAAAAAACCCAAATAGCTAGAGTTTAGATATTAAGCATGAAACATCTTCTAGTAAGTGTCTACAAAGTTTGTTCAAATAAAAGCCCTGGGGTCAAAACTGGCCCGGCCCCAGGGGTGTCATTGTTTTTAACTATATATGTATAGTAAAAACTTAAAAAAAATCTTCTTTTAAAAAGCCCAATGAGCTAGAGCTTAAATGTTTAGCATGAAACATCTTCTTATGGGTGTCTACCAAGTTTGTGCAAATAAAAGCCCTTGGGTTAAATTGGCTCTGCAACGTTGGGGGGGGGGGGGGTGGTGGTTGGGGGGTCCTATATACAGGTGAGCGACCTCAGGGCCATCATGGCCCTCTTGTTTATGTTAATGGAATAAACTTTTGCCCTGGCCGTCTCTATCACCAAACTAAAACCCCATTGAGCACATTTTGGATGCTCTTGGTCAGGTCAAGGCATGCTGTCACTAATTTAAAGCACCTTAACATTGCAATGGAACAAACTTCTAGCAAACCTTATGAGGCTTTATATTATCTCAATTAGTAGGGCTGTTGTGGAAGTTGTAAGACCGAAAGGACAATGCAAAATGTTTTAACCTTTTGGTAGAATTAACGAAAATCAACACAAGAAAACTTTTGTATTTTTGTTTATTTTGGTTTTGACCTCTAATGTACCTCTATGTGACATTCACTAAAGCAAAATAAAAGGTTACTTAAGTACATCAGTTGAAAAGATAAATGAACATACTTTAAAATGACACCAAAAATTGACAATATTCCTAATGTGGATTCTCAGATATTCTGGAAAAATAAAGTGCACATTTTATTTTGCATTTAAGTTGATCGGAATGCAAATGTCATTAATTCGAAGGGAAAATTACATTTACCTTGTTTAATATCATAAGAATATCATTTACAGTGACCGTTTTGTTTGCATTTTTTCTTAGCTTTCATAGTAAAATTGTTACTTTATTGGGTGATGAAGCATCATGTCTATAATTGTTTATAGTCCAGTCAAATTAGCCCGAAAATCAAGCTAACCTAGAACTAATTGCAAAAGTTTTTGTTTTGATATTTTATGATGGTACCATATCTGCTTGATATTAGGAAAAAAGTTGCACTCTTTTGCTGAAGGGGAAGTGTGATTTTTTTAACTTTCAAGTTGACACCTATAAATTTCAGTTATGAAATCCGTGTAACTTATTATTTTCCGATGATACTAAAAAAAACTCTTCCATATATAAGTTAAACATATTTATTACATGCAAGCTTCATACAAACAAATTTCTGTCCATGTTAATTCAAAAATATACATATAATTTACATTAAAAACATTTTTTCATAGGCAATTTTATGATAAAGTGGGGTCAAATTACCCCACCCACTTTATGTTAAAAATTTCAACCAGTCAAATTTCGATATATAAGCAGCAAATCATCCATTTCATGCATATATACAGTTAAAACAATACATAATGACATATTTATGCATGAAGAAATACTTTGTAAATTATGTCAACTGTATTCATATGAATTAAAAAGGACATACATACATTATGTATTGTAAGTTTTGTGTTTAGATAAACGTTGAATAATTCAGGTAAACTTTTTTAGCTAACATTCTGAACATCTAACGCAATTTGAATGATTTGTTTGTTTCAAGTAAAAAATGAACAACAACAAGTAGGTATAATTTAGAGCGAGTAACAATTACCAAAACACCATGGAGAAATTGTAGTATATACATTTAAGTGTCATTTGTTGAAATTTGACATTACACACGGAATAAAACTATATTTCTAATGTCTCGAAGAGCTACCTAATTTGGCAAGCAACAATACATTAATATAAAGAACATGTATATACAGGCTAGCTCATTCACAAGAACTACGTGCTTGTCACATCGATAAGTACTCTTAAATCACTTTGAGTATATGGTAGGGTTATTGTCATGCTTGTAATCCACATCAAATGGTACTATATTCTATAAATTTCAAATTATTTTTCTATTTTTGTATTTGTCTGCAAAGTTTTATATGAATAATTTAAAGTAGAACCCCTATTGCTTATGTACAAACAAGATGCCAGATGGATGTACATTGCTAATAATAACACAAACTATGAATACATTTCAATACAAAACAGGTACAATTGATAACTATGTTCTAAGAGAATTGTGTCGAAACCAGATCTAGTCTTCCATGTCTGCAAAATCAATATCTGAAATAGACCGACAGTTTGAACAGCTAATACCATGACATTCTCCACATCCAACAGAACATTCGAGATCATGTTTGCGACAGGTACATCTCTTAGAGTCGCAATTTTTTTTGCAATTGCATCTGATAATATTTAAAAGAAAATCTGGAGCAGCGGGTTGTGTAGATTTTGTTGGTACAAGACGTCCTTCAAGAAGTTCCCATCCCCATTCAGTTGGATCTAATTTATCATTTCCAATCCATGTTTGTGTTTGAAAATAGGACCGCATAGAGTGTTGCGCCGCAGCATCAGATGTAGGTGGAAGGCTTTGAACTTGAATAACAGATGAACTTGACATGGTTTTACTTACAAATTTGTGAAATCTCAGTCTGTTCAAATTTATCTCCCTAGCCCCATCATACAAAATCTTCATGGCATTTTCACCAGCTGTAACAATTTCTTCTTTGTTTGTTGAAGAATGAAATATTGCAGCATTTTGCCGGAACACTTCATCTTTACACATTATTTTAAGACATGCCGGTTTGCTGATGTTGTATATTCGTGAAGTACTGTCACAACCAGAGAAAGCGTGCAGGAATGGTAGGAGATTACAAATCTCTATTCCAATCACATTTTGTGTGTTTTGAATATCCCACACCTTTTGGGTTTTCAGACGAATCGAATTGTTGTCTGATCTGAAATATACATTCTTCGAATCTGACGAGACATGAAACAATAAGAGGACAAGCAAGTCTGTGTCTTCACCGATAACATACGTTGTTTTCGTTTTAGAATATTCAACAGCTGTTTGAACAATCAGAAAGTCTGCATCAGAATGTGAATTGCGTATAATAATGCCTCTTTGTTCCAAATAATTACCAAGATAAAAAATGAAGTTTTGTTTGTTCTCCTCATTTCTCAGAAACATATCTTTTTTCATTTTCAGTGGTGTGTTATAACCGAACACAACCTTTGTACCAACTTCGCCTTTCATACGCCTAAGATGAGCAACATCTTTTATAGAATGGTCCATGTAACCGTCAAAAACGACTGTAGGATTGACATACCTTTTAGAGATGTAGGAATAATATTGCTTGCAGACATTTTCAATTGTTGAACCTTTTTCCCAAGGAATCTTCTGAAGAAGCGAGCCGCCGTCAAGTACATGCACATTTTCAGAGGCAATGTCATCTAATTGGACCGGATTTGTAAATTTTCCAAAATTCCATAATGCGTCAGCAAGTGCAGCTTTGTTAGCCTCTCTAGGAAGTCCTGTGTTGTCAAACAAGGCAGATGGAATACTACTAAGTTCATATTGAAAAACACTTGATACATCACCATCAACAAATCGAGCAGCAGTAATTAATCTTTGAAACAGCAACTGTGGATCAATGACAACTGGCTCACCAAGTACCTTGATTGAAGACTTTTCATTCATGGTTACAGCTTGTTTTGATTTTTTGAATGAATAACCTTCAAAATCTTTTCCAACCATGTCTTTAAGAATATTATTTCCAATTTATTTTGCATTATCACAATTCACCCTTCCATCGGCAGTAACACAAGTTTCTATGTGCCTCAATGATGTAGATGTTTCATTAAATGGATTGTGAATTTGAAGAAAATTTATGAATTCAGTGACGTCCGTTTCATCTTTTTTTGAACGAGCGTTGCCCTCTTCCTTGTGTTGTTCACTGGTTTTATATCCTGTTTCTGTAAATTCTTGCATAGCAGCATTCATTTGTGCTGTGGCGGGCATTGACATAAGCCAAGTTGTCCTTTGTGATTCGGTCATTCCTCGACCTCGGGTAAGACCACCCGATGTTTTTAATGATCTCATCAAAACTTGCTCAATTGTGAGATCGGTTGAGATTCCGCCCCAATATCTATCATTTCTTCTCACAACATGACAACCTTTCAAAAAAGCACTGTGTACATCAGGATGTGTGCTATTCAACGATTTCATGTTCTGTAGGTATATATATGCGGATCGAAGGTAGAACGAGTGACCAGCAGCTGCAAAGTATGGTAACATTTGTTGGAGAGACTGCAGATGTTCTAACCAGTTCCCTGTCCGCTCTGCTCGTATGAAACTTTGCAAAATGGATATCATTTCCATGTACTGAAACCACAGTTTGCAAGTTCTATTAGAACTCATGATTTCCTTTGCTTCAGTAAATTTGGTTTCTATTGTTTGTAAACATGTTGAGTGACAAACATCTTGTTTCTGTACATTACCAAATATCAAATCTTCATACAAACTAACAAGTTCAGTCTGGATATCCGTGTGTATATGTTTTGTGTCGTCATTAGCGACATGTAATTTAGAAATTTCAAGTTCTATCGCTGTGTCTTCAGAACAACGTCTGGAATCAGTTCGTGTATCTAGTGACTCTTCAAATGATTCTAGTTTGTTAGGCGGTTGTGTGTCTATAATTTAGACATCAGTATTGCATGTAATGCTGTATCAAGCAGAAAATGACATCGAGTCGCCCGTGCAACGGCCTTGCCCGTTAGCATATGTGTTACTTCATTTGGTGCATAAACATTTTGCATCATGACTTGTAATCCTGAACCAGACATCAAATTACCAATACAATGTAGTGCCCAAGAAACTCATCTCAGTATGGAATGCTCCTAATCTTAATACGACATTTCCACCTAAGTCATGACTACTGGAGTTGAGGATATGTGTTGCCTTCTGGAATAGCGGTTGATCAAACGTAAGGACTGGCGTGACAGCATACTTTCGAGATAGATCACATATGAAGGAAAGTGGGGAATAAATGCAAGTCAAATCACTTGGACTCGATCATTGGGAGAAATGATATCCCTGATTTCCCTGGAAACACTGAACTTGTGCTCGTATCGTACAACTGCATACATCCTGACCAGGAAGGTCTCGATGGTTTCAATGGCTAAATAACTTTAGAAAAAGTGTCAAAAGCTCCACAAATGCTAATTTCCTCTTTTTGTGACAGCGATTCAAATTGAACCATTTGCATTTGTTCAGATTTATATTGATGGAAGAACTTAATCTGAATTCTTCCAAGATCAGTGATTTCTTGGTAGGTAACTTCTTTTCTTGGAATTGGAACACTAACATTTGATCCAGGAGCAGTGCAAGCAATTATACCCATGCCATGAAATGTTCCATGCCCATCTAATGTTCTTATGTTATGGTCAACATTATCAGCACAAAACTGTAAAAATCTTCCTGGAAAATATGAAGCAATGCCAGTATTGAGCGTTGCAGCGGCATTCATTTGAAATTTCATGACTTCGGGATACGAAGAACAAAACCCCATGTTGAAAAGTGTATCAATCAAAAACCTTGATGCAAAGTGATGGTGAAGCTGTACTCCAAGGCCAATTTGGAGAGGTGACATCAATGCTCTAGGTCTGCAAGCTTGCATTATGGCTTGTCCTATAGCAGCCGTTTTCATAGCAATATCCTTTCCAGGAAATATATGTTGAAGCAACAACCGCAGACTGTCTGAGACATAATTCAAGTTTTTGTCAACTGAAGATACATCAGCAAAGGATGGATAGTATTCCTTTGAAACCTTAACATCGCAAATTTCACGTTGTATCAATTTTGCTGCCGTTTCAATTATAATATTTTTCTGTTCCTCTTCGGATTCACTTCTTTGTGTCTTGTAAAATGTATGTAAAATAGATGAAGCTGTTTCTTTTAAGGATATCAAGTCATCTTTTCCTTCACACGAAGTAATTATCAAGGAGTCTTGAAAATGATCTTTGAGTTTCTTCTTTAAATGCTTTCCAGAGTATGCCTTTTCCCCACAGCTGTTGGACATTACCTGCACGAGGTCTTGTAGACGAATAAGGACATCAACATTTTCCTCTAAATAGCATGCAACTTTCTGAAATGCGACTTGTACAGCTTTGTCTTCCGGTCTTCCGGGACTCTTTTTGACTGATGGTTCACCATCCATAAACAGTTTTGGAATATGTTTTCCAGTTCGGAAGTTGACGTTACATGTCTGGTGATATATTGCATCAGCCGCTGGCAAATCCAAAACTGACGACAGTCTGTTTAAAACAACATTTCCCCACGAATCGTTTCTCTCAGAACATTTGAGTTGTATTGTTTCCTGAAAATCAAAACTTCTTACAGGATAAACATCTAAACTACGTTTACCAGATGCAACTTTAGCAAGCTTACCACAGAATAAGCAATTAAACTTAAAAGCAAAGTTATCATTTGATCTTAAAGGCCTTTCAACTTGGTTACACTTAACATTGGAACTATTTGAAATGTTTCTATTGTGAATAAAATCCCGTCTACAGTCTTGGTGCACAATTTGGCCTGGAATTGTTCGTATACTTGAATTCCTCAGATCGCTGGCATGGTTTATACTGTTGCTTCCCTTCTCTCTGAGAGTGACAATTTGGGACCCATTCTGGATATCCTGTGCACAAAATACACACGCCGTAGTATCTGAAAGCATAGTTTAAATCTACATATCTGCATATATTATTCTTTTGTATATGCATTATTTAGCTGTTACAATAGTATTATGTAGTGCAAAATATGAATATACGGTATATAATTTATGAAATATTTATTTTATATGTTTGTGCATTTATTTTCTTAGTATTCAGACCATTATTTGCACATTATCGGAAGATGATGAATTAAGGTATAAACCATCATTTGTAAAGACAAAATATACCTGTTGACTTTGCCATGTTGATATCTAATTGTAGATGCCGGAATCAGAAATGCACAACAGGTTTCTGAAAAAACGAAATATTCAGTATAAAATGTGTATTTATTTCAGCTTACCTTAAATAGCCTATGTCATTTCCCTGGGTTTAACACACATTGAACCTTTGTCCGAAAACTTAATGGCCAGCATGTGTATATTAAATCATTTACAGAGAAAATGTCATGAGTATTTATTAATTTAATAAACCGTAGTCAGTATAAACATACCGAAAATCAACGCCCTTCATATCATTGTTCGTTCCATGAGCATGGTTTGGTAATGTGGCATGTATCATCTATAGAAATAAAAGACATATTTTGTGAGAAATCGTGTATGAATTTAGCAATATATTTATATCAGCATATTAACTTTGTATTTAAAAGAAACAAGTATATTTTGCATGAACCGATACTCAAAATGGCATAATCGTTCATTTCATTTTTCGACTTTGATTGCTAAAGCGTGACGCCATTTGGCCAATGGAAAAGAACGATTCGAATATTTGGCATTACTTTCCATAGGTGTTAAATGAAGGCAATAACAAAACATATCCGTACTATGTTATACTTTGCATTTTTGAAATATTAATTAAATCAATAAGTTATACAATCACAACAGACCAAGTAAGGTTAACATATAAGGAATGTATTATATGTTCCGGGCAATCACGTAGTATGAAAGCTCGGGGGCGATTTTGCAAATTTCCTAAGAAGAGCTGCTGGTGTCAGGTTCATTTCACATAAAGACATATTAAAAAAAGAACAAGTTAAAACAAACATTGTACATATATTAAAGATAGAAATTGTGCATAGATAATACTTAAAGTATGACTCACCTTGATACAAGAGAGAGCTGAACATTGGATTATCATCATAGGACCGTTGGTGTGTAAATCATGGATTTCCTTTCTGAAATTAAGTATTGATTTTATTTATGTACATTTACATGTTAAGTTATGCAAAATATATATCTAAATATAAATTTATATATAAATCTGAATATTGTTTTATATACAATAAAAATACCTTGTTATAATAAAAAGATGCATATTCACGACGTAAATTATGTCCCGTCTTGTCTTCCGTAGATTAAAAAATCGTGAAATCTGTTCATTTCAAAGTAACAATATAATGTCGAAAATACAAAGTTTTCATATTAAATATGTCTTATTAACATCGTCTTCTTAAAAATATATATATATTTCGTTTATTTTAGGAACAGAATAAATTCAATTCCTAAGATTTATCGGTGATCTTGGTTTGCTGTTTATTTCCAAAAATATTTAGCATAAAATCGTAGTTATATTTAACTACGGCACTTATTGTGAAAGTAAAAAGGCATAAATGATAAAAGTAAATGTAAAATACACAAAACAAACTTACCTTTGCCATCCAAACGCTATTGTTGATGAAAAATGATATTTATTTTTCGACGGAAGTTTCACGAAATCATATGACAAGTTTTCAATGACGCGCGTGCCTACGTAATATTGTTACGTCATAGGAAAAAACTGCGTGTATGGTGTACAGTTCGGGTCTTAAAATATAAAGTTAAAATTCGTGAACTTTGAACGCTTGTAAAAAAAGTTGTGCACAGAGTTATATGTGCAACTTTTTTTCTGACATATATATATACCAGACCTATTCAATGAACAAAGATTCAAAACTTTTGCAATTAGTTCTGGGTCATATTTTATTTTTACTAGACTATTAGTGCTTTCATTTCTCTGTATAGTGCTGTTACATTTTGCACCTCTGTCACATGATAGGTTTTTTGACAACCATCTGTGCATCCGGATTTGTCCGGTTCATATCTTGCCCATTCTTTGAAGGATTACAAAATAATTTGATTGGTACAAATGTTCACCATAATAAGGTGGTGTGTCACACACAAAACCTAGGTCTGCTGCTCAAAGGTCAAGGTCACACATGGGGCACTTACAAACTTGCTTGCATGATTTCAGTTGGCCATATTCCCTAGCTATGAAAGATAACTCCCTGTTTCCCTGTCTAAAATCCAACCAAATTATTCCCCTTTCAAATGAACTTAAAGAAGGGACCTTTCAAAAAGACTTTGTATTTATTTATTTGAATTTTTGTTCAGAAACGGACAATTTTTTCTTTACCTTTGTTTAATTTGCTTTCTATCTATATATGGTTCCTATGGTAAACATATGAGTTTTGATGGTAAACAAATGAATTTTCTGAACCGAAAGTAATCTAACACACAGCGTTGCTGTCATCACATGTAAACAATACATTAAATCGGTAAGAATATTGAGATATTTGTTTGACTATCAGTTATTAATATAGAAAACAACTATGTGTAGTTTTTGTGTATTGTTTTAATGTGTTTGTCTGATATTTTAGTTGTAAAAGCCATGTACGCTTAGTGTCGCTTCATAGCAACCGAGTTTAAAACGTGAGCGGTAACTGAACGAGATATGGCAAAGCGCATGCTCGCGTACTGACTTCCGCTCTATCGAAATACTGCATATACGTATAGCGAAAGTTCGTAAGTGTGGGGGTCAGTGCAAAACCTGTGACTGGAATGTAACTTCTACATGTGTAGAAGGATTTTAATGTAACTCTGCCAAATAATCTCCATAGTGAGGCCGAGTGTCACACATAGGAGTCAAAGGTCAGATAAGAAAATAAAACATTCATTTTCTAGTATAACTTCTATATACATGGATGGATTATAATATAACTTGGAACAAATTGAGTTGAGTTGTCTTGCCAAAAATTAAGGTCAAGGTCATAAGAGGAGAAAGGTCAAATAAAAATATCAAAATTTCTTTGTCCGCACTGTATCTTGCTTATGCTTTGAAGTATTATGCTTGGTGGTCAGATGATTTTTGTCGAGCTCGGTGCAAGTAGTTGTCAAAATAGGTGTTCAGTGTTTGTGCGTGCATGAGTCCAAACTTTTTCATGCCATAACTTCTTCGTGCATAGAGGAATTTTTCAAATAACATAAATTAAGTTTTTTAGGCACAAATGCTCATCATGAGACTTTGTGTCAAGTACATGAATCAGGTTACTGGGTCAGAGGTGCAAAATATAAACAAAGTAGTATTTTGACTTCCAAACAAAACACTATAGCAATATCCAAAACTCCTGTTTAAGTAACACTTACAATAAAAACCACTCTATTTGTCTGATATTAAATTTAGAATATAGAAATCATTGCTTTTGGATTAAGTAGTTTGATCATATTTTTACTTTATTTACTGGTGATTGAATTCTTGATTTGAGCCGCGTCACGACAAAACCAACATAGTGCGTTTGAGACCAGCATGGATCCAGACCAGTCTGCGCATCCGCGCAGTCTGATCAGGATCCATGCTGTTCCCTCACAAACCCTATAACAATAAGAGAAACTGATAGCAAACTGCACTGATCCTATTCAGACTGCGCGGATGCGCAGGCTGGTCTGGATCCATGCTGGTCGCAAACCCATTATGTTGGTTTTGTCATGACGCGGCTCATTTGAAAATAGCCATATGATGCATCTGAAATACTGATACCAAATAGCCACACTGTGTCATATGAACTATTGCAGTGTTAGTATTACATAGTTTTTGTTTTTTCCAGCAAATATCACATTCTTCCAGAAACGAAGATTAAGTATTGCCAAATAAATTTTGAAATACAATGGACTATGAACATAATTTAAAGCCCATCTTGTTTAAGTTCAATTTTGTAAACATTTTTATTATTATTTGTATTTTAACAGCATTTCATTTTTAATTGTGATTTTGTATACACATATTATTTTATAGTTACTAAGCAACTGTTTTATTTTAACTTGAAATTTTAAAATTTTTATTGAAAATTTATGAAGATTTAGGATAACATGTACTTTTATGCCAGAATGTTTTGTCTTTTAGAGAAGTAATAAAGTATTAGCATATCACAAATATTATTTTGTTATGTTTGTATCTAAGTTAGTGGTTCTATCCAGGAATTTAACCATGTATGAAATAAAGGAAGGACACACAGGGGTTTCTTTCGATGTCTGTGATCTAAAACAACAGAACACTATGTTTGTAGTTCTGCTTTTGATTTTAATCCTTAAATAACCTTAAACACACTACAGTGGTGTAGTTTTAACACAGTATTTGTCCCCAATAATGTATAATGTATTCAGTACAGGAGATAAGAAATATCTAAACATACATTCAAATGAAAGGAGACAACTCCTGAGCATAATGAGCTTTCTGTATTGACAATTAACTGCCCATGCATACTCTAATTGCTCAGATTTGAAGGAATTTTTCAATATTGTTTGATGTCTAGCAAAGTTCATGTAGTGCACAGAACTATATATAACAGAAACATGTTCACTGACATCAACTACAAGCTGACAAACAATAATTATTGTCGTAATGTTTGTGCACAGCCTATATTCAATTACACCAATCCCAATTTCTGACAGAAATCTTCTTTGTTAAACACCTGTCTCACCTTTTCCAGACATCAACAAGAAACTTCTTGGACACAGTTCAAAGATTAAATATTCTAAAAAATTGCATACATTGTCATGTTTTATAACAATTTAGTGTAACCATTACTTTTCAGAATCTGTGTTCTACTTTGAAATAGTTTCAGCATCAAAATACATAAAACTATGCAACTAATAGTGGTTTGTTTGTTTGGTTTTACGTCGCACCAGCACATTGTTGGTCATATGGTGCTGAAACACTGGAAATATGACTTCGGCTTACCTCGGGTGTTAAAAACTTAAAACAAAACCACCTCACCTGCTGGAGCTAAGAGATGCATAGACTCCAGTAATTCTGACCTATTTAGTTGCCTCTTACAATCAGGCAGGGATAAACGGTGGCTGCAATTCAGATGCCTCAAATCTTAAAGGCAACCCCTCAGCCACAAGAAGATGAAAATACAGATTATGTGGAATCTTACTAATGACATAGGTCTGTTTTGTCACTTGAGCTTATTATAACAAGGCATCAGTGGTGGGAAGTAAATGATCAAAGAGTCAATGATACAGATCAGTTGTTTCACTGAAATTCTGCCTTGTCTGAGAATTGTACCTGCAAACCTGTCGGATGCTCTACCTATAAACGCTGGCTGCAATTCAGATGCCTCAACTCTTAAAGGCAACCCCTCAGCCACAAGGGTGAAAGATATTGGTATAAGGAGATGAAAATGCAGATTGAGCTAAGCGGGTTGACTGTATATTTATACAGATGAAGCATTAGCTTATAAAAATCGGGAATAACTTGTTTGTTTAAACTGAATGCATGTACAGTTTGTTATTGCAATACCATCAAATTTATGCTGTTGATCAATATTCACCAGTACATTCAAACTGTAGTTAATAATTTTAAAATAAAGCAAAAGTTCAAATAAAATACATAATCTGACAATTCTCTACATCCGTCTTCAACCTCAGCATATTCGAGATATTTAGCATGGTATGGGTTAATTCTTTGGTCAACAAAAGATTGCATTTGGATTACTTAGCTATTGTTGTATTTGGTGTTTTTGTAGAAACTAATAGACACATGAAATGTTTTAGACTGAAGACCAGTCCAGAAACTATCTTACTCTTCAGGTAAATGACCTTGACCTGTTGATAAATGGCAAGTCTATAGATTTTAGTTATATTTTAAAAGGTTGTTCTGTAGAACAATAAATTATACTTCAGTAAATATAGACTTCGGAAAAGATTTCTTCTTCGGAAAAGTCATAAAAATGTTAAATGTTGGCAATGAATTGTACTACCTTTTAAAAGATATAAGTTTTTTTTATTTCAATTTTAAATTTCCATTCTACATGTAAAAGTGCATTTATCTAGGTGAATTATTCAACACTATTTTTAGACAATTAGTTTCAGTTTCTGTCTAAAAGAATACAGTAAAATTTCCTTTATCATTACTGATCTGTTTTGTTGGTTCCATTCAGACAATGTATAGGATTACTATTTAATGTACAGATATATTGTAATAATTGACAGGGGCATTCAAGATATGACTTTTTGCTATGTGCATACTGTCTTACCAAGAAGAAAATGATTATATAAATTCATAGAAGTACATATTACATCAGTTTTCAGAAAATCCGTAATCTCTCGCTACGTATACAAAATGTTAACATAAATAAAAGTAAACTATGGGGTTATTCCTTTAAGTATGCATGCACTTTAATTCAAGATAGAGATAAACATTCATAAATAATAGTTTAACAATAATGAAAGTTATCAGGAAACAGTTAATTTCTTTCCTTTCCTAAAAAAAAAATTATACACCAGTCTGGAGATAAGTTAAGCACATCCTGCATTTTGCCTCAATTTTGACATGACTACAACTGAAATTTTAAATTTTATTTGGGTAATGGTACGAACCACCTGCAGTCAACCTGCAACAAGCTCTGCACAAAGAGTGGCAAAATTTACCTCATAATCGCATTAGACGCCTTACTGGTAGTATGAGAAGGGTTGAGGCTATAATCATCTGGGCATGTGGCAATTACACGTTATTAAAAATTTGGCTATAAAATGTCATTGTAGGTTAGGTAATCATCAACATTTAACAAAAATATCCACCAGTAAATGTTTTGTAAACACTGCAACACCAAACTTATAAACACTTACATTTTTGGTAAAAAACAACACATTTGCTTATGCTTCCATAATTTGGTTAAGAATAAAGTACTCGTAAATTTACTGGTTTACTATTACTCAAGTGGTATCGCTACTTATCAAATAACAATTTCTCAGCTCAATTAAGTCATCATCTCATGACAGTGCTTTCAACAACCAATTTTAAGTATCTGGAGAGTGCTCGACTTTTTTACAGGTGTATAAATGAAGCCTTCAACTAAATTTGCTAAAAAATGTCAACTTTATCTTTATTTTAAATGTTGGACATTATCAATTCTGAATTGATATTCATTCATTTGAACTAAAAGCATACTAAGAAAAAGAAAAAAACCTTATTGACTTAAACACAATTTAACCAGTTATGCTGTCTTGAATATTGTTTACTTGGGTTTCTTTGATATTCACCTTTCACACTAACAGGACACAGGTCACTTATTACAGGTCATTGCCTTACTAAGGATTTATTTGCTTAACTAATGATCACAATTAGTTTTTCTGTCTCTATGTCACTACCTTTAAGGTCACTGACCTTTGATAAAGCTTGTTCACATGGTTATAAAATCAAGTCATATGGTATAGGTCATTTAAGGTTTCATCATTTGAAACTGGAAATGAAGTTTTTTCCCAAAATCTAGACAATTAGATAGGAGCATCTGCATCCTTTATAATATATCAAAGTTAAAATTCAGCCTTTAGACTCTTATAACAAAATATTCCATTCTTTTCTTACTTGTTTTATATACAGGCTTTCAGAAAAATGGTAGAATGTCCTAGTAAGGCTTGCCACCGGTTCTTGTTGCTGGGTCGTATAGGGGTTGCGTTCATTGAACACCGCCTTTCCTTGTTGATCATATTTAGGGAAACTACTTAAAACATTTCTGATGTTAACAAATTTCTATGTTGTACCGGTATATAAAAATTCTAGGATATCATATGAGAAATCATGAAGTCACTTGTCACGTCATTCTGGATGCCTGTCAAAATGACTACTTAAATCATTCATAACAAAACTTGATTTAATTCAACTATATAATCAAAGTATTGAAATTAAAGTTATTTCAATCTCATTACAAATTAGACTTTCACATGTTGATAATTAAGGTCCTACATGAGTGAATAGGTAATAATGAAGCTGTCAAATTTTATTTGTACATAACCCATGACCCTTTTCCCCCCTCAAGGACTCCTTTTTAGGCCCTAATTATACAAGACATATATGACATTAAATGAAAACAAACCAAAATATTTTTCATTATTAGCTTATTAGCATATTTAATAAATTAACATAATATATCAACCTAGAATGACGTAGTGTAATGCAAATTTGTAAATCAACAACTCAACACCGTAATCAACAAATACAGCATCTATACTAACATATATGCAAATTAGTCAACATTTCACCTGTGTTATTGAAACTTATTGTTTCTGTTGATTTGACATATAGATCATGATATCAACTCAAAAATCGATGTACACGAGGACTTTAATTGCCAACAAAGTATGTGTAAATAAAAACAAAAATGAATGTGCTACCATTTTAAAAACTTAACAAAAAAGATTGTTTTTGGTGTTATTTTTGAAAAATTATGTATACATGACATTTATAATCAATTTCTAACAGTCTGCCATAGATTAGTTATTAAACTTTTAACAGTAAAGAAATGTGTGTAATGTGTAAAACACACCAGCATTTTTTCTTATTTGGTCATCCTACTTACTAAATATAACACCTTAAACACTTAGATGTTAAAATAAGATGTAATAATAATCTCTAACAAACAGGAGTGAATGATATTTGTAAACCACTGACCCCACCTGGGTTCACAGTGCTAAATAGTTGGCTTCCTTCTATGTTTAACCCTTAAAGCTGCAAGCCTCAGATGAGCAAAAATATTTTAAGAAAATCAACATGTTTAAGAAAAGTACTAACCCTTAAAGCTGCAAGCCTCAGATGAGCAAAAATATTTTAAGAAAATCAACATGTTTAAGAAAAGTACAAGTCTTCAAAATTCAATAAATAATTAACATGTTGTATGCAAATAAAGAATGATTTAGCAGTATTTATCATTATATTTTTACTGTGCTACTAATGCAGTAAGGAATACATGTTTTGTTTGTTTGTTTGTTTCATTTTACGCCTTTTTCCAACAGTATTTCAGTCATATAGGCAGGTAGTTTCCTAACCATCGTTCCTGGAGAGTTACACCAGTACTAGACTACCTTCCTCCGCACTAAACTACCAAAGCATCTCCCGGGGATCGAACCCACGCCAGAGAGGAAGGGATACATGTATTTTTCAAAATTTAATTATGATCTATTTTTGGTAGTTATAGAATTTACATGCCACTTGCAATGTGAAATTACTTCCTTTGTTCACCTGATTATTATCTTTTCATTAATTAAAATTGTTAATGAAAATAAGCATAAATCTGGAGGCCTGCTGCTTTAACTTGCTGAATTTCTTGAAACTGTCTATTATTTTGGGCCATCCTTAAAAAAATGTTTGTTTGCAGTAACCCGACCCAGAATTTTCAAGGTGGGTAGGTAGGTCGATTTTTTTTTTTAATTGAACTGCACTCCCAAATAAACATGGAATTTCAAAATGCTGGACAATATATGCTTTGATAATCTGGTAACAATTAATAAATTGATAACTGAATTCTATTTTAATAAGACCTACATTTTATTTCTTCTATTAACCTTTAAAAGAACGAAAACAAAGCACAAGGCATAATTTTCTGATTAAAAAAAATATTTTTTTATCCAGACCATGAAAAAAAATTTTGAGTAGGGGCAAATTTTGTGAGTCGGTCGCGTTACTGCAAACAAACATTTTTTTAAGGATGGCCTTGGGTATATCAAGATGTAAAATTGAATATATTCAGCCAACAACTGTATAGAGCCCGGTCAAACTGCACATAGGTGCCTATCTCTATACTGGTGGCAAAGACTAACTAGCATGATGAGGATTATAACATAAAAATTGTACTTTCAACACATACAACTGAATGAGGTAGAAAGTTGATTGGGAAAGTAATATCATCTTTCTTTTACCTGCAAGTAGCTTTCACGATTAAGTACATATTCCTCTAGGCTATACAGTTGATGACTAAAGCATTTACCAAAAAAAAATGTAACCTTAAACATATCAAAAACAAATCTACAAAATTATTTAATGCAGTACACTCACAGTATTGTAATGAAACAGTTTTTATCAACAATAATAAAAAATTACTTAAAGAGTTCTTTAATATTTAAATCTTTAAAACAAACAAAATATATGCAATGTTTTTTGTCTGTGTGTAATTTTAATTCTTTGATTTATGTCATCATAAATTTTTTGTATCATAAAAATACATAAGGTTTAAAAATATCACAATTTTCTACATTGTTACATGTTTTATACGCAGTAAAAATCTTGAAATGTCCACTTGCTTTTTTTACTTATACAGTTATAAACTATTATATTAGTGATTATTCTTTTTGGCTAAAGGCCAAGCAATATTTTTGAATAAATTCTGATGCAAAGTTAAGTTAAACATTTCATCATTCAAATCTTAAACTATATAACTGGTTTTTACAGACTTTATTAAATAGGCTAAACTTTTATTATGAAACATATTTCCTGACCAGTCAAAATTTGAAATTGTGCACCAGTGGGAAAGGCCCAATAGAAAAAGAAATTACAATATGATTTAGAAAATTAAGTTATTTTAAGGTTAGAAAAAAACCTTTTTTATTAACTGATAATTTTTTTTATCTTACATATTTTTTTTATCTTACATACTTTTAACATAGAAACCAAGAATCATTTTAATTTATTTTTAGAGATAAAATATAAATTAAGAAGTTCAATAATCACACTTAAGTAGGTCTTCCTTCAAATCGAATTTCTCTTGATGTTTCACTCAAATTGTAAGAACAATAATGCTTTGCATTATACTATAACAACAAAATTTCTTAGATGTTGACTTGAGTACAAAAAAATAATCTTTTTTTAACACAGTTTTTTAAACTATACTTACACAATAACACATTAACAATAGAGTATATTAACATCTATGCATACGTGCAGTTTAACATATCAGTCAAATATTGTGATATCTATAAACAGTTGTTATCTCTGCCTCAATGACACAATTTCCATGTTGGCCTACTTTGAGATGATGAATTACATATATCTACTAATTTAATTTCAATTACACCTAGATTATACAGCTATTTCATCATTTAAGTAAGACTGCATTAGTTGAGTCAGTCAAAAGGGCAGTTATCAGTACACAAGAATTTATGGGTGTGAAATCCACCCTTTTACATCTATAGGTATTAAGTGGAATGGTTAAAATATCATCAAAACTACTTCAACCATTGAGCAATGAGACAATAGGATTTAAATAGAGTAAAATTTACAGTATCATGTATTAAAGTAACAAATTCAGATAAAAACATGTCCAGACTAGATTCTTTCCCCTGATGAAATTTAAGAATGAAGTTTTTATCGCAAACATCATGTTTCAAGTACATCTTATGTACAAGAGTTTATGTAAAGGCCTGATAAGAAATGTGGCTATACATGTGTACAAGCAAAGGTGACTTGGGAAGAAGTGACAAAGTCATGATTTACCTTTCACCATATAACCATAAACAATTTACACTCCAGTCACAAACAATGGCAAAAATTTGTCTAGTTTTGATCTTTTATACATATATATCTCAGCCTAAAAAAAATCACAGTAGATCTATTATCTCCTTCAAAGTTCAATTTCTGATAATATTATCTCTTTCTTGTCTACATAAAGGTGGAATACTGCTGTAAAACAGTGTTGGGATTTGAATGATATAGCAATTTCTATTAAGCATTGCGACATTACAGTGATTACATATCTCTCATGAACAGACTCAATAAAACTGAGTCTGAAATTTTCACTTCATTAATTTTTGATTATTTTTTTTCTTTTCATTGCTTTCATGTGATATCCTGTTTCCCCAAAAGTTTTAAACCAATCCCGTTTTCATCGTATCCTTGATCAGTTTTGAAATTGATTGAACCGATGTTTTTGCATATAATAATGTTCTAAACACTTTCAAATGAGACATATCGTAAGTTCGTAACTCCTGACTTTTCAAAATACAGCAATGTTTCAATAAATCCTAGAAATTTATGTATGTAATGTCACAGCAATGCCCCCTCACTACAAAGTTTAAAGCAAACCCCCCTATTACATATTCAAAATACTGTCTCAATATAACTAACAAAAACATATATCTGATGATGAATGCAGACCTTGGAATGCATGTGACATAACAAATGATATATAAACCCTTCAATTCTAAATATAAGGTATAATTACAGACTTAACATTCTCCCAAACTTAATACCAATTCACAAATGCTGTTTTAACTCCTTCACATTTAACAGTTTTAATGAGAACAGTGGGACAGTAGAGATATTGTTGCATATGTTAATGTTTTATACTTAGTATTCAATGTTTATTGATTGTCATTTAAAGTTACAAAGCTTTATCAACAGCTCAACTATATTCCTGTTGGCATGGTCGGTAGTGTCAGTTTTAACAACTGGCAATCTATTTTTCCAAGAATCGTTCTCTATAAATTTTGTCTCTATGGTTTTGATTCAGAATCGGTCCGAGCAATTTTTCACCATCTGTGATTTTTCTAAGAAACCGTCCACGGTCACGAGCGTACTGTTCCCAGGGTCCTTTACGTGCTGCTTGGTATGCATGAGACCAGGCTATCATTGGATGGACTGTAGCGAGATCATTATCGTCTGCAAAATGGACCTGAAACAAAAGAAATGGAGATGTTAATAGTTTAAGCAACAATATAAAGGTGGTAGTGGAGCAACACAGTAGAGGTCATATATGTATGCAACTTTCCACCTTTTCTGGTGGATGAAGACCTCAGGTGCCCCTCTGTGCATTATTTCAAGCACAAAAGAGCACCCGAGCTGAATCATCAAAGTACTTTAAGCTAACTTCGCTGGATGGTTTTCTTGCATATATTGAAAGAATCCGAAGTTCTTCAGGATTCGAACCCACTGCGATGAGGGGCAAGTGGCTTAAAGTCAACAACCAGTTACCTTACAAATCATATTTACATAAATTTCATTTTGTTCAAGGGCATTTATATTAACCTGTAACCAGCTGTTTCAAAGCAAATGATCAAGTCATGTAACAGTTTGCATCTTAACTGCATTATCATCTATACATTAATATTATTTTAATTTATATGAAACTCATTTTATACTTGTCAAGTTGTTACAGATTTAAGGTGTCATATGCATTATATTATTGATGATTGATGTAAAGCTGAATTAACGTTCAACTATATTCAACATTAATAAACAGCAAATCATAACTTACAGAAATAACAAATGTATTTAATCTTCCTTTGAAGAGCTAATTTAATCAGTTATTCGGTATGTATAAAACAATGTAAGGAGTAACAGGCACAGGTTTATATATTTACATATATGCTTCCGGAATGCTTGTATTTTTATTTTTAAGTTTTTTAAAAAAATATTTTTAGTGTGCTTGTAGTTTCCAAAAGTTACTTATTGGCCAATCTGAACCATCTTTTGTTCCATTTCGGCAATTAGTACAGTCATAGTCAAGTGATTTAGTATGGAAGTCAAACTACCACTTTGTTTATATTAAAAAATTGCTACTAAATTGCTACTTTTGTAACAAATCACTTCACATTTAGAGCTTCTTTCTTCAGGTAACACACCCGTATCTAACATGATCATACAAAGATACAACCATTATTTTATAAAACAATATTAAATTCATGTTTGCTCTTTTAAGAAACACATTATGCCTAAGAAACAAATAAATTTTTCCTTATTTAAAGAGAACAACTAAATTTATTTTTGTTCTAACCTTTTTGGAAGTGGATGATTCTTTCTTCGGATTTTCTGATTTGACAGACACCTGAATCTTCCATAACAAGTTAATGTTTTCTATTGCACTTGAATTAGGTGACAGAATGGCTTCTTCAGGGGGCTGCACTGTGCATGTCACTTGAAAACACTGCAAGCCTAATAGTGGGTTGTTACACTGAAATCCCAGACCATTTTCAAATATGTTTTCATCTTCTAATGATGAACATGTTTCATCACTCTCAAGGTCACTATCTGACCAGTCTAGTTCATCGTCTATATCACAAGAAAAATGGAATGAATTGGTGCCTGTCTCGGACTTTTCCTCTGTCTCAGACTTGTCCGAACTATATCCTAGAATAAAAGCCATTACACTATTATCATGAAGAGCACTATTTGGTTTTATATTTGAGCTTGATTTGTCACTATGGCAGGAGGTTTGATCATTCTGTTCATTTTGTCGAGCTCTTTGACGTCTCCGTTTCTTGGCAGAAGGTTTTCCTCTTTTACCTCTACTACTGCGTACATATAACACACAACTTTTACTGTCAGAATTAAGTGAAGAACCAATTTTTGATTTCTCTGTAGAAGTCTTTTGAGGATCAAGTTTCGGATTTTCTACACTATTAGTTTTCTGTTCAGCTTCACAATTATCAGTTTTATGTTCAGTTTTATGTTCACACTGATGACTTTTAGCTAAGAGATCCTTTCCAAGAATAGAATGATGGTTTTTCTTGCTGTTTTCAAGCAGCCTAGCATTGTACGGAGTAAGTTTAGGATCTATAGTAGAAGAAACACTTTTACATTTGTCATATTGGTACCTCCTATGAGGAGGTACATATTTCTCAGAATACACTTCTTTCATTTTCTCTGACTTTGTGGAGCAGCTACCCAAAAGGTTGCAATGGATAGCACCAAATATATTTCTGTTCCAATTTGTTGGTTTTCCTGTTTCCTCCAAGATATCTTTGTTACACTTGTAAGATTGTTTCATACTGTCAATGCCGGAGTTCATTCCAGGAGCTTGATTTATCATTGAATTGGTGTTAAAAGACTGACTGACTCCACTTATCATATTTTTCAAATAAGTTAAAGATGACTTGTCACTTTTACTATTTACTAAACCGTTTGTTCCTGATTTATAAGGGCACAAATTTCCAAAATAAGACGTGGCTGTATCCAAATAGGCACTTGCTGAGTTGATTATTGAACCCATGTTTATGTTATCAACTAAGTTTTTGTAACTAGATCTATGCTGGTTATAATGTGATTGCTTTGTGTTTATAACACCATGATTTAAATCGGAGTTTTGTACTTGATTATGTGATGAATCTTCACCAGTGCTATTAAGACGTAATAACCCACGTGTAGGGTGATTTGTACATCGGGATCCTTTGAAACTTTTGTTTTCACGAGCATGTATCGCAGTATGACAACAGTGTTGCTTACATTTACAAGAACTCATTATTTATATCGTTAATAAAAAGAAAATTGAAAAGATTAACATTTATATAATTATTTAAAAATACAACACCAGTTCTCCATATTATGTTTGCGTAATTGTCCAAACTTAGGCGCAAATTTCCACTTTTCATAGCACCATACTGTCCATTTCGAATCCGGAATAATTCTTGAATTAACACTTTCGACTCCAGAATTTCTATTTAATTCAAAAGACTTCATACAAACGCTTCTCTTTTTACTATTTTCACACGCCATATTCTTCTACTGTCTTTTTAGTGAGTAAACTTTTGAGCGATATTTGGTTGACATGTTTCTTGTTTCTGTGTTTAGTTGAGTTTTAACGGAAGTGTGGCGCGTAACTACAGTATATTAGTAATGTTGAAAAAATAGTTCTATGGTAAGTTCATTATATGTATATTTTTGAAACAAAATGAGCAATTGATAGTCAGATAATCTAAAATACTTTTTGGTTTTGATCATTATTACACATGAAAAGAGATCATATTCACTTTATTTTGATAAAACAACATACGCGCAATAATTAAATGTTAGGGTTAAGGTCAAACGCTATTTTTAGCAGAATTGCATCAGCCGGTAAGAAAAAATGAATTGAAAGTAAGGTCCAAATATCAAAAACATGTTTGTGATTTAACTAAATACCATGTTAAGTAAATGAAGAACGTTAAAAAAGCATAATCTACAAAACTTTCATTCAAATATTTTTCATTTCATGCCTTTCTAAACAATATTTCTATTTTTAGAAAGTAAGATCTACTTTTATTCTTAAAATAGATATTGATTCACGTTTATTACCGATGAATCACGAACTATCGAGAAATTGCAATCGGAACACCTTTTGACGGAGATTGCCGAGTTGTTACGATTGGAGAAATTGAATAACTCAATGAAATGGAATTGTTGTGTCCCTTACTAGAGCTAAGTCTTTACTATCTTTGAATAGGGGGTGTACAAGTAAACAAATCCCACCATAACACAACGTGTCGATTTATTAAAGTCGTTTCCAGGACATATTTTAACGGAAGTAAAGTTCTACAGTAAATTATATATGTCAGAGACATAGACTATGTCGGGCAAACTTGGATTGAAACTGTTATTTTTTTTGGTATCAGAAGTGCACTGACCTGACCTACCTGACCTAATCCTGTTATCCCCTAGTGGGGCAAAGGGCATCCACAACAGCTCTCCGTCTGGGTCGGTTCATTGCTGCTCTTTTTGCTTCTGCCCAGGTGATATTGCAGCTTTTCAACTCAGCTTCTATTGTTCGTCTCCAGGTGGTTGTTGGCCTGCCTCTTCTTCTTTTACCTTGAGGGTTCCAATCCAATGCTTGCCTTGTGATGTTGTGTTGGGGTCGCCTCAGAATGTGTCCTATCCAATGCCATTTACGTTTCTTGATGGTGCTTGAAATAGATGACTGGCCTGTTCTATTCCACAGATCTGAATTACTGATCTTGTTTGGCCATCTGATTTGTTGGATCAGAAGTGCACTACTTATACGATAAAATGACTCTTTGACCCTTCAAATTTCCAAAAGGCCTGGGTCAAATTTTGTTAAAATCATGGGGATTTGGCCTTGTAGTCGGTTAAACTTAGTCAAAATGACCCTCAGAATTTCATGGCTAGTGAACACCCTGCGGTAAGCAGTAGATTGTAAATATACCAAAATTCATTCTCAGTATTGCCACTTTCGTAGATTTTTTTCTTCTATTTTATATGAACGTCACATTCAAAACATACACATTTTAACACCAAATTAATGCTGCCATGGACACTTCTTAATGTAGAATTCTTAAAGACACTTCCAACACAACTGCAGTTCTTTACATTGGCAAAGAATGAATATTTAAACTTGATGGAATTAAATACTTTTATTTTGAATGACTATAAAGAGAATCATAGATGAAACAAATTATGAAAGGGAAAATTATTGCTACTGAGTAATGAATTAGAAGCAATGTTTTTCATTAAAATTAGAAGAAAAGGGGCATAGACCTGCGGGCATGCGTCGTCGTGCTTTTGCAAATTTTAATGCACGAGTAAAGGCGCATCAATCTTGAAAATATATCAGTATGGCGAGCATAATAGTATTTTATTGAACGTGTTCTATAAATTCAGTAATGAACCTACACGAATATACTATTCTAGTTTTCTTTCACATACTCAAAATAAAGACTGTCTAAAGTGAAAACGAATCATTTTTTAATGTCGCGCTTATATAGTATTTAGCGCGTCTTAAAGTAACGCTTTGATTATATAACGCAATGACGTCACGTCAATTTATATATATACTGTATACACGACCATGCAATACAATTTTTACGGAGTTGAAAAAGCGGCACGGATATGTGATAAATTAAATCAATCACGTGAATTAATTAAACAATTTATCGTTATATAATATTTGTAATAATTATGCAGCTATTACCTAAATGTACACATATAAAACACAATATAAACAACAGCGCTAGCACCTAATATTTGTAAAGATATTTATTAAAAAAAACCGAGCACTACATTAGAGACAATGAGTACAGTTGTTGTTGTTGTAATATAAATTAATGAACTTTCATAATTAAGATTCGATGTAGATTCCTTGCAACAAATTAATTCAACAAATAAGTATAAGCTTTTATACATCGAGTTTAAAATTCACCATAATTATTTCAGATGTGTCCATAGGACACAGGTGCCCCCACACGCAACTGTTTTGTAAATCGGCTAACTGTAGGCCAAATATTTTTTGGCCTATAAGCGATTCAAGTTGAAAATTGCAAAGCTTTACTAAGTCAAGGGAAAAAACTCTACAAATACTGAATAAATACACAAGCCAACCCCTAACTACACATGCTGGCGAACATACCTGTAAACTGTCAGGAATCCAGATCAAACACTTTTTAAGTTACGCAAACAAGTTGAAAATTTCAAATGTATACTATGCCAAGGGCAATAACTCTAACACAACTAAAAAAGAAAGAAAGAAAAAAAATCTTCCCTTTCTTTTTCTAAATTTAACGTTTCATTTTCCCTTTCCCTTTTTACCTTGACTGCAGAATCTAACTATTTCTTCTCATGATCTAACTTTCCTTCTCGGCATGCTTTGTTTGCATCTCTCTATCCCCAGGACAAATGTCTTTCCCAATCTAAGTTAACTCTGCTATAGACATCATGTCTATAGAGTAAGCATAGGAAATATAAAAAAAAACACCAAAGGGTCACTAAGTTTATTAAGACTTGTATAGGAAAATGCGTTAAAGTCTTCAAAGTCCAAAGTTTAGACATTTGGTAGGCAGTATTGCATAATGAACCACCACAAAGCTATATTTATTATGCCCAATGGGTTCATACATTTCTCTGCCCCAGGGGTCACTAAGTTTACAAAGACTTAATAGTAAACAAGTGTGAACTATCTGAATGAACAGTTCTTAGAGCTAAGACTTCTGGCAATTGTGGTCCTCTAAAAGAGTTAAATGAATGATGCACCTGAGGTCAAAATGGGACCCGCATCACGGAACAATTAGTTTATACAGACTTATATATAAAATTCCATTTAAGTATTTTTTCTTCTTACAAACTTCAATGCCTTGACCTTAAATTTTTTGGTGGATCTATACCTACAGTAACACAAGTCATTCCCTGGTGTGCCTTGAAGGTCACATAGTTTACATCGACCTGTATTGAAAATTTTCTACTCTGAATGTCCAGTGGCAAAAGCTTCGATATTTTGCAAGTGGAATCAGCTTGTGGTCCTCTACATAAGTCACATTAATCATGCCCCTTGAACCAAAGTTGCCCCCACACCAGGGTCACTCCTCAGAAACAACAATGTCCAGAGCTTATTAAATTTTTAGCATGTAGAATTGCCTAGTTGGGGAATACAAAGGTTATATAAGTCATGACCCTAGGGTCGAACATTGCCAATTCTGGAAGCAACTAAGTTTACATACTTATACATTTAAATGTCTTAAAATCTTCTCTGAAAGTGCAGTTACAAGAGGTTTGAAATTTTGCAAGATGAATCACCTTGTCGTCGTTCTCTATATAAGTTATACGAATCACGCCCACGGGGGCTACTCTAAAATAAAACTTGAAATTCATACAAAGACGCAGCAAAAATTGGGCAATTGTTCGTTCCTTTCATCTCAACTTACTTTTCGACCAAAATTTAGTTTTAATTTATGTAATGAAATAAAAACATTTTTGAGTACAACACCGCAATTTATAATGCAATCCTGTACTTAGTAACAATTACAAAGCATACTTGTAGCTTTAATCCCAAATCAATTTGTTTGAACATGATATCAAAAAAAACTTTGAACTTATTTTTTATTAAACTTAAAATAAATGCAAGTTACGCTAGTCTTGAAAAAGAGACGAGGAGTTTTGTACACAAATGAGAGTTGTGTCAAAAACTACCGTTTTCCGACGTACTAATAACGAGAACCCTCTGTTGGAACCGGAAATGATTAATTTTTGACCCAAAAGTAAAATGCCAGACGAGATTGGACATCCGTTCAGTTTGACCAGGCACCATACTGCTGGTAGCTCATCTTTTGTATAACAAAACATCAAAGTAAAGGGAGGTTATAACGTTTAGTAACACATTAAAATTTCATACACACTTATTCATTGTCCGTTTTTATAATTCGCCATTTATTTTTTATGAAACAAGAATGATTTGATTAGTATTAGTTCTAGTATATTAAGCACAATCATGTCACAGCTGATTAATTTCGCACATGTATAATTATTTTGCATAAACAACAAATGTTAAATGTAAGTCACTTAATTAATACTGATTCATTAAACTTTGTGTAAATTCAGCGAAAACACGCATGCGCGTGTAGACATTTGGATAATCTGGAGAACAAGTGGAGCTTCCTACCCACGAAGCAATACCCGCCAATTTCCATTCATTACCAACTTGACAAACAAGAGGTCCACCACTGTCTCCCTGAAAAATGCAAGTAAAAATCGATTATTATTTTAGAACAGATCTCTTTTTGCTTTTAATGTATTGACATGCATGGAATAGTGATGTAAATAGTATTAAACGGAATCCCAAAGAACGCTCAAAACGGCAAAATTGAAAATAATGCAGGCTCGGTTTGACTGAGTCTGTTTCATGGACTGTACTGGAGTACAATATTTAAAGCTACCGTCCGCGCCCCGCAACATTTAATATGAACATGGTGAAATCTTGAATTTCAAAACATCTTTGCAAACCTTGTGATCACTACACAATACACAGCAATGTAGGCCTCACATATGTTTAGTAAACAGTCAATAAGCATGTACCAAAGCAATGTTTGGGACTGATCAGAAGTACTGTGTGCTATTGTATATATTATACCGCACTTACAACTCAAACTGTTCTCTGGTACAATGTTCAGAAAACTTGGCAATCAGCTTGAATAATGCACGATCAATAAACTCTTTCTGGCTAAAATTAAAATGTCCAATAGAACCACAATATTGCACTCTCAAGCGGTAACTATACTTTTTGTCTGCACGCTGATGTAATGATGAATATCATTTTTAAAGGCTCTTCGACATTTATTAATAAAGTAATAAAGAAAGACCACATTATTGTAAGGTATAATATTATCATCATAGTAATCAGGTATTATATTTCCCGAGCTGCAAAGTTAGAGTTTCTATGCATATAAAAACAGACAGTAATGCACTGCAATACTAAAGTCTTTGAAACGAAGTTAGCTGCTGCATGATTTATGTCTTTAATTGCAATATAATTTTATTCATGAATTTTCTGTAGCCGTGTATATATAATATAATTAAACGTCCCATGTAATAAATTAGCGTGTTGGTCATATAAAAATAACTAAACGTCCTTTGCTCAAATCAGTACATTGATGCTTCAGAGTGGGCTAGAGGAGGAGAAGAACAAGAAGAAGAAGAAGAAGAAGAAGGAAGGAAGGAAGGAAGGAAGGAAGGAAAGAAGGAAGGAAGGATGAAGAAGAAGAAGAAGAAAAAGAAGAAGAAGAAGAGGAAGTGATAATAAAATATACAGAACTGTAGTTCATAAAGAATTATACAAGCCGATGGCTGAGACCGTTGACAATGTAAAAACCAAGACATGAAATTTGCATTTTCATAACTTTTTAACGAAAAGTGTACCAACTTAAAAAAAAAACAAACAAAAAACACAATAGAATCATACAGTCTAAACATTAAAACATTGAATCTTATCTCTGTCCATTTAAAAGCCGACGAACAACGCTCAAATATCGATATTTAATCAGAACACATCGACTATCATTCAATATCAAATTTCGTACCCGAAGATTGATAAAAAGAGCCAAAAAGTTGCGATTGACCGATATTGCTGAGAAAAGGAAAAACTTAATATTTACAGCACAAGCCGAGGCGTGGTTACCAAGAATGCATATTTGAGTGTCTTCGATTATGTTTCCATAAAATTTTCTGCAAGCCATCTCTGATAGTACTGAAACTTGACTTTCCATGAGATAATCAGACGTATAGACATGATCAGTGGTTCCTGCAAAAACAAGAGAACAAATAATTTTAATTTTAGACGCTGGGGTGACCATACTAAATTGGCCAAAATGCGGAAAATGCATAGCAATTGCTAAGATGTTTTTTTATTCTATTATTTTGCATTGGCACTATCTCGTTCGGAAATATGATTTGCAAGTACAATACAACTTTTAAATGGACGTGGCCATCAAACCTGTCATCATCTTTTTAAAGGGAAAAATATAGTTAAGTTAAATATTTGTTGAATAGTGAAAAGTGAACACCATGATCAGAAGGCACGGATGGTCTGTTTAGGTCATATAGGTAGATTCTAAAATTTGCCACAATCAGGCTAAATGTTCATGTTTTCCTTGTAAGAGCACACTCATTTTGAGTTTATTATTGACCTTGTTATTTCTGGCGAATCGCATTCATATAGCAGCAACCAAGAGATCTTCTAGACTAATAAGGGGCAACATCATCTCTGATATATCTACGAATATATGCATGCACTTATATCCGCTTTTAATGCAAGCTTTCTACATGTTTATTAACGTTTTAGCATTAGTCATGATAAATTGACAATATACCAGTATATGGCGAAGTGGTGATTGTTGAGGACAATCTAATGACATTATTTGCATTATGTTCGTCAAGGCTTCTTGACAAAATACGTCGCTACTTTTAAGAAATCGAACAAGCAAATAACGGAAACGAGCCGGTTGTTTGACTATCGAAACTTTTCCTCTACAAGGGGTTGCTCTATCAAATACAAGTGGCCTTTTGAAATACGTAACTTCGGGTACTCATGCAAACATGTTTGAAGAAAGAAGTGAAAACCCCCTTACCAACTGTATTACCCCAACCAGTGATGTAGCACAAATCATCCCCGGAAAATGTGCTAATCTTGTGTGAAGCGATATGAATACTTTGTACATAGTTTGTAAATCTCGCACTCACAGAGAGCTTCACCATTGCTATATCAAAATAGTAGCTATCTTCTTCATAATAGCCATGCTGTAATGTTGTAAAACAATTCTTTAGTGTAATAATAATAATAATAATAATAATAATAATAATAATAATAATAATAATGTCTAGTTGGTGTCAGCCCTAACCTATTGAATTGTTTACATTGACGTGTCAATATTTTTTTTGATATCAATTCTAGGAATACCAAGATGAAAATTTAATGTTAGTTAACTGTTTAGAAAGACCATGGCCGTGCAGGCTGGCCTGGAGCTACACGGATGGCAAAGGTAAGGAATAGTTACCTCGTTTTATTAATTGAAATCCTTGTAAAATAAGCCTTAAGTTATATAAAATATCTAGAAGGCATTCTAATTAAAACATTCTTTAAAACTGAACAAAAGTAATGCTTCTGAATACATTTATTCATCAAAAGAAGTAAAATTGATACATTCTTAACTTGTATTATATTTTAAGCTATTTTTGTAAATATTTTTAAAGTGTAATATAAAAGCCTTAATTCATCTAAAGAAGTTAAATTGATAAATTCTAAATTTGCATTATGTTTTAAACTATTCTTGTAAATATTTTTAAAGTGCAAAATAGAAGTCTTTAACTCTTTTGTCAGTGTTCCAAGTCATTGTTATGCCAATTGCTTCGTTTAAATTACGTACACAGTTAAATCCTCGTCAAAACTAAAATCAATTTGAAATTATAACAGCAACAGATATGTTGTTATGTTCGTGCATATTTACTTTGAGGATTAAAACCTGCCATTAGATATTACAGTAGCCTTATCAAGTGTGTTAGGGTTAATTTTTATTAAACTTACCATTAATATTCTTGCCGGATCAATCACTTGTTCTCTGTGAACAGCTCGGGTACTTAATCTGTAGTCACCAAGGACAACTCGAATCATATATTCCCTAAATATACATGAACAACATTGATGCACAGAAAATTTGGAAAACACAAAAGCATCAAATTAATACCGATAATAGTAATTATGAAATACCTTATAAACCACATTGCAACATTAAGATATCTGTGCAAAGAACATTAATTAATGTATGTTTAATTTTTTAAATAATCCTATAGTATGACTTTTGTTATGATTGTCCTTTGTCCTAAAAATACAATTTGGAATATTTTTTTGCCATTTACAGCTATAATGTATTCATTACTTTACAGAAAACAACTTTCATTATTGCTAATATGCTACTACCTTAAATTGAATTATTCAAGGTAATGTTTCTGATTTATTTGTCCAACAATTTGTATTTCTAAAACTGTTTCTCCATTTATATTCTTTAACAACATGATGAATAAATCCATTAGAAATAACTTAAAAGTTTACGTGAATGCAATTCAACATCCACGATGGTCATACACTATTTAAAGGCACTTTAGCCTCAGACATGAATAAGCTTTTTTAAAAAAGTGCAAATATGTGTGTTGTAATGTTGTAATAACTGATTTTGAACACGTGATATTTTTATCACTAGAAAAGAATAGTGTTGAATGTAGATTATTTTGTAATAAAATAAAGCAAAATGCAAATAAAATAGTATTTTGATATTCATACAAAATACTAAAGTACTAACTGTACTCATTGCCAGACAAAAAAATCCGCAAAAGATAGCCCAGCTATATGACCAGTGAGTTATACCAGGACACCAACATAAAAAGCTTTTATGCAAAAATGATGGGTCTGAAACATTGCTACATATCGAAAGACCAATAATTGATCAGACCCATTTCAGCGCATAAAATACGTATCGCACTGAATATTTTAATTGACAAATTCTCATTTTGAATATACCAACAACTGCTTTATGGTGTCGCTCTAAAAATTATTTAGGGATTGAGTGTTATTAAAATTCAAAATGTTGATCATTGTTGTATTTGTGCGTGTTTTTATAAAATGATTTAAAAGTTCATTATTGTTTATTACATTTCAATAAACATTATTAAGTCAAACGACATAATAAACACAAAATTAACATGTAATTAATCGTAAATAAGAAACAGTCCATATCTTTTGTTTAACCTTTGTCAATATCTCCTACGCGTTCAGGTACAGATGAAATAAAACAATACAGAAAGAACACGTTGCGACAAAGCAATCGCAAAATAAAAATGGTATTAACAATGAAACTTAGTTTGTAACCTACATGCATGTTTCGAGTATTATAAAGGAAACTACCTATCTTAACAAATATAATTCTAGTTGTCCTTTTACTTTATTAACGATATATATTCAATTAAACATAAAAAAGTTCAATCGCGTTTTGTAATTATCTCTTGCAGTTTTACTTTATTTCATATATCATAATTTCAATAAAAAGTACTTACTCTAGTTTGCTGACGCAATGAGCAGCAGTCACTACCCATAAATTAGAAATCAGACTTCCCCCACAGAAATGATGCCAATATCCGTCTGCTCCAAAATACTGTATTGTGACTTGCCAAGGCCAACGTCCTGATACGGAATACGAACCTCCGACTATTCTTTGGTTTGGAAGTGTTGCGTTATTATCCATCGTACTGCCAAGGCCACTTTGGTCTTTCTCATCATTTATCTTGACAGTGTCAACAGCTCTTTTTTCAGAACTATGCAAATTATTATCGTATAAAGTGATTCCACTTCGGTCACTTAGATTTATGTTTCTTGTGTCATCTTTGTTGTAAGTGCTTTCATGTTTAGTACCGCTGGTTTGCTCCTTTTGCGTCGAACGACCGGCCACTTTACCTTTCCTTTTGTTTAAAAGTGGCTCTTGACGCAAATGTTCATAGTATTGTTCGATCAATTTATTTTCAAATTCTTTGCGACTAGTCTCATCCATTGCTAGTGTTGGGTGGATAAATTTTGTGTATGGTGCATTTTCATCGTCGTCAAAGCCATTTCTAACAGCGGCATCGGAAGCATTGATTCCTGTTTGTATTTTGAATCGGATCTCTTTTACAAGAACTTTTTGCAGTGCCTTGTTTTCTACCCCTCCTGTTAATCACAAAAAACGCAATCAACATTCATTAGATAATATAATCAGTTATGTAATACAAATGAAATCGGCAACATCATGTATAAAGGTGACTGCAATGTATTAGTGATGAACAAATTATCCGTAGAGAAAGTAAAATCATTCGTCTTAATTACAATTAATTGTAGTCTTTGGCTATGAAAACTCGCAGCACAAATGAAATATTAGGTTTGTAGACATGAACTGTTATAGACATAACCAATTATTTTACAAGAATTATCAGTTGATAATAATATGATGCTTGCTTTAAAAATAAATAATAAATCAAATATTAAGAATTAAAATGTGTATTACCTAAAATCATCGAAATCAGAATAAATACACCTAACATATAAAATCCTTTGCATGACATTCTGTCGTATTTAATAGGTGATCCTGCCTGCCGGATGGTGCCTTAAATGATTTAATTTCCTTTCCCGGATCTGTTGTACTTTCTTAAATGAATGAGTTAAAATCAGAAGGCCATCTCCGTCTTTAGTACTCTTTATGATAAACCGTGTACAAGTTGTTTAAGGTCAATAACATTGCAAATAAATATACTTCTTTTTCGTTTACATCTGTCATTAATTTAAGATTATCTTCAACCCTTTTATTTGCTCTACTCTGTGTGGGACTTGTGTACTTTTCCTCATCAAAAGTGTTGTTCATGTACTAGTAAATAAACATACCACCCATGTGACAACGTCAGGAGATTCACTTATGTTGTTTGTTTGTTTGTCCTTTAGTTTGAGGACAGCGGGTGGAATGTTTAATTTTCATTATAAGTTTCCGTTGAAGATGGTTGTGTGTCCTCTCTTTGGTTTCAAGTCAGTGTGTGCAATATGGTATTTGTGCAAGATCTTAACTGACTAAGTAAAAGGAGACTGAGATCTGTTTAACATTCTAGTGCCAATCTTTAACGGGTTTATTGCTCGGAAGGCTTTCCCCATTTTCTTCCCCGAAACAGCAATTAAATTGCATCAAAGAAACTATCTGTCTAGTAGGTTTCTTCACCGTTCTTTTCACATTTTTATTATGGCTAATTATGAAATAGCATAGCATGTACATACTGTATAACATAAGTGAGATAAAAATCTAGCAATAAAGCCGGAAGGTTGCTTTTTTCTTTGTTCATTGTATTGTATTTTATAGATGACCAATTTGCAAACGCATTCTATTTGACGGGCCTACATTAGTATAAGTAGTGAAACTTACGTTTTATATTTATTGAGATCAGGTGAAAAATACTCTTTCAGTTCAAAGTGAAGAAATTTGAAGTTCATTATCTGTTACTCTGTTAAACCCCGGGAGGTGGGTAGTAATATTTTTAAGATCAAATAACAACTAGATTTATAGACCCTCATCTTATCTGTTGTTTTATTGAATTGTCCATCTCGTGTAGTACTATTGACACCCTTTATACAAGTGCACTTAAAACACCCATGATACCCGCCATGTATCGCAAAAAGGCAGTCATAAATCACCAAATTGTATTGCGCTGCTGTGACGTCAACATAAAAGTGTTTTTAGTATAATAAATAATATATGTGCACTTCAGGTCACATTCAAGTGCAGCAGGGTGTCGATTTTGTCGACTTGTTACATTATTTTGACTCATTTCTCAATACGAGACAATTTTCGCACAACCAAGTTAAGTTTTAATTAGGCAAATTTCATGTTTCCAAGTATTAGAAATACTTGCAATTAACAATACTTCTTGGTTTATGAATTGTGAATGTAATACATAAGTTGCAATGAAATACTATAAAATACATGTACTTTTATATACAAATCTACAAAATTAAGCTTTATTTAGCTGCTATCGGACATACTCTAGCGGCGAAAAGTTACTATTGTATATACAAAATATAACTGTAACAACTCCTTTCGGGAGTCGAGCTCTTATATTTTGCCAAAAAGGTAATGTTCATTGAATTTCGTTTTTAAAATCCACGTTTATGTTTTTTCTAAGAATTAAGTTTGTTTCAACCCAGAAGAACTATTTAACATGCCATAAACGTTTAAGTGAGATTGCATGTCAATTATTTAAATTTAGAAAAATTTAAAATTTTAAAGTTAGTTTAAAATGTTTTTTGATGTTATTTTTTGCGAGATTTTTTTTAAAATCATCAGAAATTATTTTGGGGAGTCTAATTTCATTTGCTTTTTTTGTTTAATTTTTTAAAATTTTGACATATTTCTTTGGTTAAAAAATTTTTTTTTTTTTTAAAAATTTTTTTTCGGTTTTTGTTTACATTAATGCTTTTTTTTAGACCCCTTTATTTTTTAAACTTTTTTCTTTTAGATAAAATTTTTAATGTATAGTCTCCCGTTGGGAAAAGGGAACATAATTAAAAAAAATGTATTATTGTTTCTGACGGAAAAAATGTTTTATTTTAAATGTTTTTATTTTGACGTAAAAGTGGAAATCGTACTGCCTTTTGCTTGTCTGCTCGTACTACATTAAGTATGAAATGTTATATAAACGCAATATCATATAAATCACAATGAGTGAGATGTAAATAGATAACCACTGTGTGTTCGAATCCCGACAGGGATTTTGGATTCTTTTATGTGAGGAAGCTATCCAGCTAGCTTACCGAACGGCGGTGGTTCTACTCAGGTGCCCGTTCGTGCATGAGGTCTTCCTCCACCAGTAAAGCTGGAACGTCGCCATATGACCTGTAATGTGTCGGTGTGACGTAAAACCCAATTAAACAAACAAACAAACAAACAAACAAATTAACAAATAAATAAACAAACACGTAAATAGATAACACTTAGCCCCATGGAACTGAAAGTGATTATCCTTTGCCACTAGCATAGAGACAGACAAGCTTGCAAATCCGTGCAGTGTAAGCAGACACTATACTTATGGTAACTTAATTCATCTAGCAGACTTGTGTTTAATAAAAGTATTAAACTTGACTTTATAAGAGAATCATACCTAGATCAAATTGAAAATTCATATTTCATGTCACTCATTTTTAAATTAAGAGGCGGTTTACTGCCTTTAGGAACACTGGATTGTTCTATAACATACCATATGATCATAGGATATGTCTTCTCTGTTATACGGACCTAGATGATTAATATCACATTCTCTTGATTTGTACTCACTTTAATTCTATACGTAAAAATATTCTAGCAAATATATTGTAGAAAAATCCTTCACGTAAAAACATTATATCTGTTATAAGAAACGCAGATTTCTGACATCTGCCTTAGTGCATCGATCTTTTTTTCATACATCGTAATTCAATTTTGCCGTTTTCAGGTGGATTTAGGTAAGATAGGAGAACTTTTATTTTGAGAGACGTTGCATATGATTAACTTGTAATCATAAAAACATTTAAAAAGCGTTGAATGTGTTAAAATATATTTCTTGAGTTATTCTATAATACCCTTTCTTCATAAAAATTATATATTGACATCTTGTTACGGAAGAAGTTATACATATATATAACGTGTCAACTTTATAACTAACGTGTCAACTTTATAACTTGAAGTTATATACTTTGAAACATAGTGTCAAAGTTAACATTTCCTTTCTTTTGCACACATGGTTTTCAGAATCAATCAAATGAAAATGTCCTTTATACGCACATTAATATACTCTCGATTCACACAACTGCTGGGTTACCCTCAAACATCCCGTTGTGTTACATGCTTTAATCAACCAAGATAAGAATATTAAACAAAGTTCCCACTATCATCACACGGACCAATAGATTAGATTTTCAATGTATTTTATATTGTTTGTTTGGTGAGTGCCTTACATTGATTATCGATTAGATGCATGATGAAATACCATATCCATGAGATTGTCCGTAAAGACTTCATAAATGTCTTGATAAATGTCAATGCTAACTTATGTGAGAAAATGAACTTTATATTGTTACAAGAACCATGATATATAAGGTTTGGTCACAGAAATCAATTTACAAACTTTTTATGAAGTACGTTTTATTATGCCGTCGGGTCTTATTAGGTGTTTCCTGTAAAAGTAGTTTACATTTTAAGTCTATATAAAAAACAACAACAACAACAACAACAAAACTAATCGATCTAATTTTCAGTTATACCAGCTAAGTAAATAATGTTGTCTACTACATATCTTACATTTAAAGCATACATGTAAAACGAGAATAAATAAGAATAAAGAGAAACAAGGCAAAGACAACGTTCACCGGACGCAGTCCCCGACACACCCAAGCCAACACCGCAGCACCAAACCAAAAAAGATATTGTATTATGGACAAGACCTAAAACAAACTATATTAAAGATACATTTTCTTATTATGACATGAACATTTGGAATAATATAACTTTAAATATTTGTAGTGTTGAAAACCTTAAATGTTTTAAAGAAAAATACAAAAAAAACATATCTTGATGTTCATATCAATGAATGAATAAATAAATGAACGAACGAATGAACGAACGAACGACGAACGAACGAACGAACGAATGATGCAATATACGTATATGGTTAAACAAACTGTTAATAGTCTTTCGAAAGTATATGAGTTGTCTTATTCTAAAATTTACATATTATACTTTCATTTTTCTACCTATGCATGTTCTGTTGTTGTTGTTGTTGTTTTCTATTTCAGAAGGCCACATTGGAAATAAGATATATATGATTGCTATTGTATTTTCTTAATGTGTAACCTTCTTTAAATAAAGATATTATTATTATTATTATTATTATTATTATTATTTTTATTATTAACCAAACCCGGGAGAGGACACAATGGCGGCGAAAGGGTGACAGGGACATGTGTAATGTGTGAAATAATAAAATCTAAAACGGGCCCATGTGGAAATTAAAGGGACAAGGGCTGTGAAGGGGGCGGGTGGGGGGGGGGGAGTAAAAATGGAGGAGGGTGGGAGACAGACAATTCAACATGGTAGACATTAAAAAACATGCAAACATTCAAAACAAGTAACAACACAGACGTGCGAAACACGTGAAAGAACAAAGAGCGGTACCGCCTTGGAACGGTCAGTGGTAGTACACCACTTGGAAGTTCAAACCCCAATGTGTTCCTATATGATACAAAAGTGTAAATAAAATTAATCCCCGCCAAGTGAAATTCTAATAATGACCATGGTTACATATTACAAATAACATAACATATAAGTCATATGTAATGTGAATACTAAACTGAAGTATCCAATGTCAGTATGAAAAATTTTGGTTATATGGTATAATCTATCATGATCACGATTATTATGTCTCCCCCACCTCGGGGGGAGACATATTGTTTTTGCCCTGTCCGTCCGTCAGTCCGTCCGTCCGTCCGTCAGTCCGTCCGTCCGTCCATTCTTCGTTTCCGGACGATAACTAGAGTTCCTTTTGACCTACAGCTCTCAAACTTCATAGGATGAATGGTCTTATTGAGCAGATGATCCCTATTGTTTTTGGGGTCAGTAGTTCAAAGGTCAAGGTCACAGTGACCGTTGGTCAATTTCTCGTTTCCGGATGATAACTAGAGTTCCTTTTGACCTACAGCCCTCAAACTTCATAGGATGATTGGTCTTATAGAGCTGA